AAAAAAAAAAAAAAAAAAAGGTCAACATCACTAGATGCAAATCACAACCACAATGAGATATCATCTCACTCCAGTTAGAATGGCTATTACCAAAAAGGCAAAAAATAACAAATGCTGGCAAGAATGTAGAGAAAAGGGAACTCCCTGGTGGGAATGTAAACAACTATGGCCATTATGAAGACAATATGAGGTTTCTCAAAAAACTACAAATCGAACTATCGTATGATCCAGCAATCTACTATATATATATATATATATATATATATATATATATATATATATGTGTGTGTGTGTGTGTGTGTGTATATATATATATACATCTCCAAAAGAAAGGAAATCATTGTATTGCAAAGATACCTGCTCCCTCATGTTTATTATAGCACTGTTCAGAATAGCCAAGATGTGGAATTACCTCAGTAACCCATCTATAGATGAATGGATACAGAAAATTAACACACACACACACACACACACACACACACACGAATACTATTTGGTTTCAAAAAAGAATGAATTCCTGTCATTGGTGGCAACATGGATGAGGCTAGAGGACGTTATGTTAAGTGAAATTAAGCCAAGAACAGAAAGATAAATATTTTATGTTCTCACTTACATGAAGAAGCTAAAAAACATGACCTCAAAGAAGTAGAGAGTAGAAAAGTGGTTACCAGAGACTTGGAAAGGTAGGGGAAAAGTGGGGAGAGAGAGAGATACTGGTTAAAAGACATAAAATTACAGGTACATAGGAGGAATAAGTTCCAGTGTTCTATATAGCACTGCAGGATGATAACAGAAATATATAGTTTCAAACAGTTAGAAGAAGGCTGCTGTATGTTCCTGATACAGAGAAATAATAAATGTTTGGGGTGATAGATACGTCAATTATCCTGATTTGATCACTATACACTCTATGTACAGAAATATCACTATGTACTCCAAAAACGTCTACAACTATTATGCGTCAATTAAAAAAAAATTTAAAGAAATTAATCAACTTTGGTGATTAAATATTTATTCATTGTGATCTCAGATTGAATCTTCACGAACTAAAGCAAGGCAAGAAGTACATATATTTCAAGAAATGTTGGAAACAAGGCCAGGTCCCTCATGGAAACAAGAAGGTAAATACATAGTTATGGCATTCTGATGTTCCTTGGGATAATTTTAATTTCCTTTCTTAATGTTCTTAAATATTTTTAATTATCCTGTAATCTCAGCACTTTGGGAGCTCAGAAATTTGAGACTAGCTTGGACAACACAAAGCGAAATATACCCTATTTAGTCATTACAACAAAGGTTGGGATCTCTAATTAGATTAGTCTGATTCTAGAAAAGTTATATATATTTTAAAATTTGTACTTCTGGATTTCCTCACATTAGAAATAGTTATATTTGTTTCCAGCCATAAACCAAAAGATATCACAAATTGTCTCCATTGTAGGTATACTGGTCAAGCATACCCTATCTTCTACATTTTATAAATCTTAACAAACAGATTAATGACTTACAGTATAATCTTATTTGAATATCATGTATATAGTTTCAAACCACCTCACTTAAAAACTCATTCCAAGCTTACTCTGGTAGTAAGTATCACCTACAATTTTTAAAAATAAACCTTTGCTAAAAAGGTCATTTTCCACAATAATCAGAACAGAAACACTGTCAATCCATGGCATTAAAAATAAGTTAACTAACGAAATAATACAAAGACGATATATCACTTCATGCCAAATACCTGTTTCCAGATTCTATAACAGTGAAGAAAATCCACAGCTATAAACAAATCAAAATTATATTCTATGGCTAAGCAGAATAAAATCACCTATTTTGAGTGAGGGCAAAAATGTAGAAGTTTCAACTGCCACTTACAAGTTCCCTTTTCTTTCTTCTACCCCAAATTACTGATATAGCATAATTAAAGGTTTTAAAGGTAAAGGTGTAAATACTACAAAGCAACTTTTACAAAGAGTCACTATTTCATCAAACTATTTCTAATTTATATTTAAAAACTTCCTTAAATTTAAGTATATAGAGTCTTACCTCTTGATTAAATTTATGGGCCATCTCATTAAGTAGTGAAGAAAAAAAACTAGTGTTTTGTAGTAGAACTCGACCCATAACTCCAAGATACGTGGACATCACTACAGGATACCTCTGGACAATCAAAATATAGCACATGTAAAATTGTGTTATGGTACAAGTATAAACAATCATTGACATACTAACAAGCAACAGGGATATAAAATAACATTCTCCTTACTTCCCTTTAGAATGAACTGTCAATACTGCCTGAGTTGTAACTTACTAAATACATATATGAATTATATGTACTATCTATATGTATATAATAAAGAGAAACAATATTTATCAATTTCATATATTACTATATTACTTTATCTTTTTTTTTTTTGAGACGGAGTTCACTCTGTTACCCAGGCTGGAGCGCAGTGGCAAGATCTTGGCTCACTGCAACCTCCACCTTCCGGTACTGTATTACTTTAAATATTTGTAACATACACAGGTTCATGGATCTACTAAAGAAAACCATTCTTAGAAAATAACCAGCGGTTTCATGTATTCAGTCTATGACAATATTAGCACTATTTTGTCCCCCTCATATTCTTAATAGTCAAGCATTGGCAGTAAGCCACTCACCATTCCTGTACTTCAAATGATTTTTTGTGTGAACATACATGCATTATGTTTGAAAGAAACATGTTAAAGAAAATATGCTATGTGGAACAGGAAAAGGCAAACTCGTCTAAATGCTCTAAAAATTTAACTTAATTTAAGATGATCCAAAAGACAAGGAAAGCTTTCCTTCTGCATATAACAATGAAGTAGAAATGACTACAAGTAGGAGAGTAATTGAAACTAGAATCCTAGAGTCTAATGCTAACCCTTGGAACTTTAAGAAAAATCTTACCTCCCCTTCTATAATACCCTTGAAAACATAGGGTAAAATCGGCTGAAACATCTGCGGACCTAATATTGGGTTCACTTTAAGGGCATTTTCCACAACCTAGAAACCAGAAAGAAACATTGGTGATACTCAGTAGTTCAAGTCATTGCTTTATGAAAAACACATGGAGGGAAACAACGTACTAAAGTAAATATCACAGACCAAATTTAAGAAGACATACAAGTATGCAAGGTATGCAATATTCCGACACTAGACACACTTTTACAAGATAATCCATTTTAAAACTGCAGTTGGATATAAAGGATATAATATTTATACACAGCTTTACATCTTCCATACAATTTTATTTAATCACATTGTAATGACATAGGTATCATGGTATCATATGCAGTTCATGTAATTCTTACCCTTGCAATTTAAACCAATAACCCTTAAAAATGATGCACTAATAGAGGCAGTAAAAGGCATTTTTACAACATTGGCTTTTTGATAGCTAAACAGGAAGTTAGCAACACCTATGCTCACTGCCCGGAAATAAATCTACATTTATGTTAATCAGCAAATTGGAGGAAAAGGGTATGTTGCATATACACTGAATATTTATTAAATTAGAAATTACACTGCATTCATAATTATACTGATCAGTCATGAGTATTGATTGTTACATGTGAAAACAACATAGAAATTATTTGATATGAGTGAGATGTTTCTTCTACAACAAAAATGTTAGCATGAAATTCAAAGCAGGGTGGAGTTTTCTGTTTATTTTTGTTTTACTTTTTAGGAAGAGATGAATGCAGTGGTTAGGAAGCAGCAATAAGGACCAAGAAGGACATTTACCCCAAACTCACTTCCAGCCCAAAGGCTTAAGAGGTGGGAAAGGAAAGAGATACCATCTGAGAGGGTTGTGGGCAAGGAATGGCCTCAGGGTGGTGCCACATTTCCCTTAAGAATTCTATCAATGCTTCTCAAGATTGACTACTGACATTTTTAATGAAGAAAACTATTTACTGGGCAGTCATCCCATGCACTGAGGGAAATTTAGCATCTTCCAGTGTCTGCTCACTGGGTGCCAAAAGTACTCCAAAAATTATGACCATCAAGAATACTTCCATGCATTTTGAAACAGTCCCAAGGTAAGCAAATAGCATCCATGGTTGATAATAACATTTGTTGTTGCTCTAATTTTGAGCAAGAAGGGAAGGTAATGTCTAAATAAAAGATTAAAAATAAAAACTTTACTGTGGGACAAGCACTATGCTACTACTAAGAGATACAGTTTTAAAAGATATCAATTCCTGATTAAAAGCAAGAGGAGATAAAATCTCAAACAATAAAAATTTGATCTCAATAAAGTTTATTTAATTTTGAAGAAAAAAAAAGCTAGATTTCAGAAAAAAAGATAAACATGGAGAATAAGACAAGCTAGTAGACTGAGAGAGTAGAGGCAGATATCGCCAGACAGTATTTATCTGTGAGTAGAAAGTAAGGCCACCTGCTGATTATTAAATATATGTATAATTTCACCCCCACCTAAAACCCCACTAAAATTACAGGAAAAAAAAATTTAAGAGGGAGAGAATAATTTTTAAAAGACAAGAGGAATGAGAAACAAACACTGAAAGCAAGAAAGCAAGAAAGAAGAAATTCAAGAGGAAACTGACTCATTAAGTCAGAAAAAGCTGAATCCCAAGGTATCAAAGCAACCAGATTTGCTTCATATAACTTCTCCCCCTTTCTCCACCCCAAAAAACACAGAAAGTATCAGAACCTTATTACCTTTGGGAAGGAGAAAGAGGAAGCTAAAAATAAGAAGAATAAAAAAATAAAACAAAAAAAAATAAGACTGGTTGAAAGTATGTCTAAGAAACAGAGCGATGGATATTTTCAACTCTGCATTACCTGGGCAGCTGACACCCAATCCATGAGAACAAAGAGAGTATATTTTCTGTAAAGAGTCTAAAAGAGATTGCTTCCAGACTAAAAGAGCCCATTCCCAATGTAATGCATTTAAATAAACCTACATTATGGCACTAGGAACAAGAAGGAGCAGCTACAAACTTGGAAAAGGAGGCCCACAGTGGGAGTCAGCATGGCTCTGAAGAGACTTTCTCAAGAAAATTAAAGCAATAGAATCCTTGATGTATCTGAACATATTGAATATCTGTCAAGACAGTTTAGTGAACATAAAAAAAACTATACCAAAAAAAGATTAAGTATTACTTCCAGGGACTACGAAAGATTATACAGAAAAGTATTACTTCCAGAGAATACAAAAGATTGTACAGAAAGGAGAAGTAATCACAGCTGACTACAGGTCTCAGCTTCGAATAGGAAATATAAGAATCATGGAGTAAACACTGAATTTTGATTACCCAGAGGATAAAGGCACAGAGGAAGTGCAAAGGCGATATCAATACATACTGCCTACAATTAACAACTCGTGAAGGAATAACACAGGGTTGTTATTTACAGATATGAACATAGATACAAAAGAATCAGCTACAAGCATTAAAAGTGGTTGCCTCTGAGCAAGGAAAGATGACTGGCAGAAAGACAGCTGATTACAGTTTTTTTCTTTAAGAAACCATATACATCTAGTTGACTCTATGCCATATAAAATTCTGATTAAAATTTAAAAAACAAATGAACATAGGATTTGAAGAGAATTTATAGTAATAATACATAGCTGTGGGTGGCCCCAATCCATAGGACTCTTTAGTTTTCTTTGGCGACAGGGAGGTGGGAGTTGTGGCAAAAGAGTATTTAGAATTAATGTAAGGATTAAATAATGCAAACATAAAGTTGTATCTGACTGAGTAAATAAATATCTCAACATAGTCATATATACATATATTTCAGGGCTAAAATAGAGTCTTTGAAGTCTAAAAGTTCAGGAACCATAGCTAGAGAAGATGAGAGTTTTTGAAAGAAAAATATCATTACCAGACTTGGGGGCAGAGGGTATGGGGCAGAATAAAGAGAAATTCAGAACCAGAACTAATAACATATAGAAGAGCTGAACAGCAGACCAAAGGTGAAAAAGTCTTTCACTGCTTCTGCATTTTCCTGTTTGGGCAAATTGGTACAACTGTAGTGTCAATAGTAATAATGACGTTCCATTCTGACATGCTGAATTTTAGGTGCCTGTGGGAAATCCATATGAATGGTCTATATTATTATTCTTTTTTTTTTCCCCCATTTATTTATTTTATTGCTTTTTAGGTTTTGGGGTACATGTGAAGAACATGCAAAATTGTTGCATAGGAACACACGTGGCAGTGTGATTTGCTGCCTTCCTCCCCATCACCTACTTCTGGCATTTCTCCCCTTGCTATCTCTCCCCAGCTTCCCACCCCCCTATATTATTATTCTTACATTGAAAAATCCCAGGTCCTATAAACTTGTTTCTTTCTACTATACATATACATATATGAGTTTCAAAATAACAATGCCAATATTACTGATGACAATACTACTGAATGTAATTATAAACTTCTTTTTGTTCTGTTACATTCCATCAGGGATATACATGTGAAATACTATGTATTAAAATGACTTGAAATAGTCTTCTCAAATAGTTATGCCACCAACATCATAATAGTTAGATTCAAATGTTTCAGTCTGTTTTTTATCTTTAGGAACTGCTTTTTCTTTTTCTTTTTTTCCCCCTCCTAAATCATGCTTTACCTCTACATGGTTCCAAACTCTAACTTTATAAAACAGATACACATCCTGACTGATCTAGTTTCCATCCTCTCCTCTTTTTGTTAGACAGCTACTTTAATTAACTTGGTTTATTCTTCCATTGCCTTCTTCCACTTTTTAAACAGAAGAAAACTAGAGACACGCTTTTTGCCTCTAGTTTTCTTCTGTTTAAAAAGTGGAAGAAGGCAATGGAAACTAGAATATACTCCTTGCTTATATTCTCAAATTAAACTTCTGTTTAAAAAGTGGAAGAAGGCAAAGAAAAGTAGAATATGCTCCTTGCTTATATTCTCAAATTCATACAGAGATCTTCATGCCTTTTTAATGCTGCACAGTACTCTGCTATATAAACGAACAAGGTGTGGCACTTCAATTATCCAATCACCCATTACTAATTGTTTTTTGACAACATTTTGTTATTACAAAAAGAACTTTTGCACTTTAGTTTAAACCCATTACCTTTTCAGAATATACCTGCAACAGATTGTGTTCTTAAAACCTTTGGGGAAAATGCAGAATTCAATTTACTTGGCTTAGGCTTACACTGCATACGAAGTGATTAAACGCATGGATCCTAAAGTCAAAATGCCTATGTTATATCATGGTTCCAATAATTACCAGCTGAGTGGCCTTTAAAAAATTATTCTCCACTCTGTGATTTAATTTCTCATCTGCAAGACTGGGAAAAAGAGCAGTACTATCATCATGTGTTTATGTAAGGATTAAACAAAATCTGTATTTTATATTTTTAGAAATGTGTAGCACATGTTAAATGCTACTATCTGCTATTTGTGTCATCTTAAAACCTGGCTTAACATTGCTTAATATGACCAGGACTAAAATGAGAATTCAAAAAGTCAAAAGTAGTATGGCTACAATATTGACAAATTTCAAATTAAAGAAATGTTAACAATTTAAATTTGAGTATTTTATCATATAATTATATTCCTCTAGATAACATGTTCTGAATCACAATATACAGTAAAGTCTATTCTTTGTTCTACATCATTTGCTCCAAAAGCAGGCATACTGGTCTCTCTATCCAATTTTCATAACACTGTAATTTTCTACTTCAAAGAACAAAGAAGTTACTTGAAGATACTGTCAGAAATTAGTGTTAACAGTGACATTTAGTAAAAAATATATTTAAAATGTTATATACCACACTATATTAAGAAACAGTATCTGATATTAAAAATGAAAGTGAGCTAATATTAAAAACTATTGTTATTGCTATACTAAAACTCTAAGATCCGGAAAATGCCAAAAATTTTGAGAGTTTGCCCAGCCTTAAAATATAGCAGCAAAATGAAAGCATTATTGCCCTAAAATATTCCTGAATATAAAAATAGAAATAATTTATTCATAATGAGCATATTTTTAGTATTTAA